AATGCGCTCAGCAGTCAAAGAGCTCGACGGGCAGTTTTGCAGATGTAAATACTTAACTATGGCATTTTGGGAGACAAGTAAATAGTCCGCACGTCGGAGGTGATAGATTTGAAGTCTTCATCCCTGCAAAAAGGTTGCGCAGCACTCGTAAGTATGAAACTCGTGAGCGCGGGGAAAGTGAACTGATTCAGCATTTCAGCGGGATTCAGATTTGAATGAAGGATGAAGGTCCCCAAAGCGATCATGTCGATCTGGGCTGCCGGAGTAGGGGTCCGAGAGAGAAGAACGTCCTCGGTGTCAATCAGCTTCCTCACTTGCAAGACCTCAAGGGTCTCCGCAAACTCCCGCAGTATAGAGGCGCAGTCCCCAATCGAGAATTGGCAGTTTAGAGTGAGATGAGTGAGGTGTGGATGGCGGACTTGAGTTGGTCGAAACAGAAGCGGTAATTGATTTCGATGGCTTGTCCAAGTCAAATTATTGACCGCGGATAGGAATAGAACATGGACCCCTGTAGTATCGTTGGGCGAGATTTCGCCCGTCGTTGGGAGTTCCACGGTTAGAGACTTGCAACACTGCCGTGCGTCGTCTCTATCAAGTCGCCTGAATGCATCTCCGAACATCCTTAGATTGTCGAGTGACCAAGCAATTCTGTGATCGGGAACAATTGTCGCCCAGACCGCACAATCAGGGGGGTTGGTTTGGCCGAGATGCTGAGTACAGATCCTATACGCTTGTGCAACAGCCTGGGAGCAAGCCATAATGGCATTCACGACAATTAGCGACGTCGGTCCCCCTGTATTGGGCATGATTTGAACGCAACAACGCGGTTCGTTGAACACTCGATTTGATCGTCGGGAGTGGACTACTGGAGGCATAACTTGGCCTGCAGGCAATATTCCAAGTGGCCCCAGTACCGCCGCTATAAGATGTCCTGCGGCCGGTAGGGGTGGTCCCACTACGACAGGTGCTGCAGTTGGAGCCGCTGTAAATCCCGCTATAATAGGGCCTCCTGCTGGAATTCCTGTTGGTTGGGGCGCTGCTAAAGGAATTGCCGGTGGGACTACTGCCAGTGGGGGTACCACCAATGTAACAGGTGTGGGTGTTGGGACTGCTGGAACTGTCACGGATGTAGGCGCTGCTACTGCGGTCAGGTTTGTCGTTAGGGCTGGTGCTGGAACAGCTGCAGTTGCAGGCGGCACCGCTACTGCGGTCAGGTTTGTCGTTAGGGCTGGTGCTGGAACAGCTGCAGTTGCAGGCGGCGCCACTACTGCGGTCAGGTTTGTCGTTAGGGCTGGTGCTGGAACAGCTGCAGTT